TGCATTTATTTTCTTATTTTGTACGTATTTAATATATCAAAATATCCATATTTTTATATATAATTATATAAATATATGTTTAATTTTTGCCGAGGAGGTTGAGATCTCAACAGGGGGGGTCTCTGTGTAGCAGGAGCCGCTGAGCCAAGCGCTGTGAGCCCAAAGCACCCCTCGATTTTAGGGGTGTCAGGAAAAGGAGGGACCAGCAGCATCCTCAGCAAATTGATGGGAAGCGCCCATTTAATTAAAATAAACCCCTTAGCGGCCTCTCCTCTGCCTTTGCTTAATTCTCGAAGATACAGGAGCTGGTTTTTGAAATAATCTATAAATTTAAGGTTTGGTTGAGGTTTTACTACCCCAGAATTCAAGCAGGCGCTCGCAAAACGTCGTCAAACCAGAGAATTACCAATAATCCTGGCGCCGGGAAGCGCACGAGGAGCCCCAGACAAAGCAAAACCGATGGGAAGCCAAAAGTAGGTCAGGTTGGGAAGGATGAGCAGCCAGGGACGGCGTTAATACGGAGAAAAAAAGCAAAGTAAGGAGAGTAACGGGCCCTGGATGCGACTGCAGGAGGAAGGGGCCGTGCTCCAGACTGAAAACCTAAGCCTTAATTCCCGTTCTCCCCGAAGATGCCATCTGCGCTGCAGAGGTAATTGCAATTAGCAACAGGACGGGAAGGGAAGAAATAAATTAGGTGATTTGTGAGTTTTATCGAGGCTGGATGGGGTAAATAAATTAATAATGGTAATTAATACGGGTTAATAATTATAATTAATAAGTTAAAATTCCCCTGCGGGGGATGTTGCGGCGATGCGGGGTTGCGCCCGGGCTGCGGTGGCAGCAGCAGCAGCAGCGCAGGGGATTTGGTGCTAAAATTGGACGCGAGTGGCCCAAAAATGAGGTTTTTCCGCTTTAAATAGCGCCCAGGTGGCGCAGGAGGAAACGTCGGGGGGGAAAAGCTCGCGCTGGTACTGAAAGAGGGGAGTTTGGGAGGAAAACCGCAAGAAAAGGAGCAGCGAGAGCCTCGCGAGGGGTTTGTTCTGGAAATGGTGCGGCCCTGGCTCAGCCTGGAGATTTTGGGGTGAATCCCAAGCGTTTTGGGAGCGCCACGAGCGCGCTTCGGGCTGCATCCTGCGTCTGCTGGTGCTGATGTTTGCAGATATGCTAATTTGGCTCGTTAATTGGGCTCATTTCGCATCGATTCGAGGGGCTTTGGAGAAACCTCAGCTCTTCCTTTTACAGATAATTTAATGCAATAAATCCCAATATCACCCTTTTAAATAACACTGTAAGGCTTAAATAACCTCACACAGGACCACGGAGCACCCGAAATGACCTTAAGAAGTGGTTTCTCCTCCCAATTATGAGACATGAAAACCCCAGGAAACTCCAGGATCAACAGCAAACAGTAACGTGTGCCCCAACATCGGAAAAAAAATAACAACAAATAAAGGAAATTAAGCTTAAAACTGCGTTTCCAGCTCAGCATCCCTCGCACGCGGCCCCTGGGCAAAGGAAGGAGGAGGCAGCGAGGTTTTGGTATCTTGAAAACATTTTATTTCATCGCTATTTCGTGGAAGCATAAATAAGAGGCGAAGACAGCGCGGGGAAGGGGAAGGCGCAGGGGAAGTCGGGGGAGAGGAGGAGCGGCTGCGGGGGCAGCGCTGGGCAGGGCAGCAGCTGGGTCTGGTGAGAACACACATCTGTCCGGAGGTATTTAGTGTCGGGCCTGGGCTGCAGGCCTGCTCCGCAATAAAACCGTGATTGTACGGATACGCTGAAGCCACCGCACGCAGCCCCGGACCCCGTGGGGTAACGGGTGCCATCTGTGCCCCTAAACTGTGCCCAGCGGCCACAAGCAGGGCAAGGCCCTCAGGGCAAAGGGCAAAAGTCCCTCTCTGGGTAGCAACAGCCTCTTTTTTATTTAAAGATATATGTATATATATGTATGTATGTGTGTGTGTGTGTGTATATAAAAAAGTATATGTATATATATATAAAAAATACGCATATGTGTGTATATATATACACACAATTATATATTTATACACATATATGTATATGTGTATATACACAAAATAGGTATATATATACACGTGTATGTATATATATACACAAAATACATATATACACAATATATATATATACACACATGTATATGTACATATATATAAAAATGTGTGTATATATAAAATACATAGGTGTGTATATATAAAATGTGTGTATATACACATCTACATATTATATATACACACGTGTATATATATACATATATATACGCACATATATTTACACGTCTGTGTGTATATATATACATACACAGACATATCACACATGTATGTGTATGTATATAAAAATTGTGTATATATATAAAAATATGTATATGTGACTATATATACACACTTTATATATGTACACACATATATATGCATATATATAGTATGTATATGTGTATATATACATATACACACATAGACATATACACACACATATGTGTATATATATATATATACACACACACACATATACATATATATATCTTCATGTCTGTCTCCATGGGAAGATTCCTGGTCTGCTGCCACGCACTTTCAGGATTTCAGCCCTTCCCACCCCCCTGCTCCACATCTCCACCCTCTATCCCTTTTTTTTTCTTAATTTATTTATTTTTTTGCATAGGAAAAACAAATAATAATAATAATAATAATTAATAGCAACGAAGCGTCGCGCTTCCCCAGGGCATCACCGCCGCCACCTCAGCTCCCCCGTGTTGGTCGCTGCTCTTCTGCTCGCTCCGAGCCCGTGGCTGGGGCCGGGGGGCAGCCCGGCCGCCCCTCATGCAGCAGTTTTTTTGGGTTCCGGCGGTGGTTTTAGCTCTAGACAAGACCGGGAAGGACGGATTTCCAGTTAGCGAGCGGGCTGTTGGCAGGTCACTTGACTTCTGGCTCATGTTCTGTGTTAAGTGGGTACGATAAAATTAAAGAGCGAGTATAAACAGAAGAAAGTTTATTTAGAAAACGTCCCCCGGAAGTTAATTACTCTTCGGGCTGTTGCGGAGGTTCTTCAGCTCCAGCTGCAGCTGCCGGATCCGTATGTCCTTCTGCGCCAGCTCGTCCTTCAGCCGCCGGATCTCGTCCTGCTGCCGGAAGAACATCCGCAGCAGCTGGAAGGGAAGGAGGGAGCTGGCTTGAGCCGCCACGTTGGAAACTGGGGAAAACATCCCCTTTCACCCCTCAAACTCTGCTCCGGCAAAACTTAATTCCCTCCGGGACCAAGTGCTGATGTTTCCCCAGCGCCTCCCTGTCTTAATTGAATTTTAATAAATATTTTGCTGCTTAACGCCACTCCTTTCAGGATGCTTCAAGCCGCAGGGAATCCCAGTACCCAGGCGCTTCAGGTTGGGAGCGCAAATAGAGCGGTGGCTTTCCAAGCTGCACCCAAAAAGCATCCCCCTCTTCTCCCATCCCTGTACCTCGTTCTCCGTCCGGGGCGGCACGTTCTCCAGCAGGTCGATGCCGTTCACCACCACGCTCTTCTTCTCCTTCACCGGCGCCTTGAAGACGATTTTGGATGTCCTCTTGTAGCCCTCCTTCAGCGACACCAGGATGGGATCTGGGATGGGGGCATGGGAAGGGGTCAGGAGGTGGCTGTGGTCCTGTCCCATCGCTGACCCCTTTTCGGGGCCCTGTGCCGCCCACCCTTTACCTCTGTTCATCCCGCTCAGCCACTCGTCGGGTGTGAGAGCTGGCTCCGTCCCCGGCGTCATCGGGTAAATGTCCTCTTGGTACGTTTCTGACTGAAAACACAGGAAAAAAAGCAATGTGAATTTGCTCCCAATTTTAACCACGCGTGAGGTGCTGTAAAGGTCTCATTGGGTGTGCAACAACGCAGGCACCCGTTGGCAATAAACTGGGTTTTTGCATCGTTAACTGGGAAGCGCAACGACTGGGAGGTCTAGGACTGGTGCAAAGACCCAGTGGTCAGGCTGGGCAGCAACGCGGTGCAAGCAGGGGCTACTCCACCCAAAGGATGAACGGACATCCCAAGGACGGATGGACATCCCAAGGATGAATGGACATCCCAAGGACAAGCATCCCAAGGATGAATGGACATCCCAAGGATGGACATCCCAAGGACGGATGGACATCCCACGGATGAATGGACATCCCAAGGACAAGCATCCCAAGGACGGACAGACATCCCAAGGATGAATGGACATCCCAAGGACGGACGGACATCCCAAGGACGGATGGACATGCCAAGGATGAATGGACATCCCAAGGACAAACATCCCAAGGACGGATGGACATCCCAAGGATGAATGGACATCCCAGGGATAGATGGCCACCCCAAGGACACTCACCCTCCTGGGCACAATCATGGAGATGGGTTCGATCAGCCCCTTGAGCGTGATGAGCTTGTAGAACCGAAAGACCTCGCAGGCCGACACGTCCAGCCCGTGCTTTGGCATCACCCCTGCGGAGGAGAACAACCCCGGGGGCTGTGAACCCCTGCAGCCGCCTGGGACCCACCCGCATGCCCGGCACCGAGGAACCCAAAAGGTCCTTGGCCTCCATTGGGAGACCCAGGTCTGTACTGAATTAATCCCTAATTTTTTTAGGAAAAATGTTTTCACTGGAAGAGTGGTCAAGCACTGGAAGGGGCTGCCCAGGGCAGTGGTGGAGTCCCCATCCCTGGAGGGGTCCAAAACTGTGTGGATGTGGCACTTGGGGACATGGTTTATGGCCATGGTGGGGTTGGGTTGACGTTGGACTGGATCATCTTAGGGGTCTTTCCCAACATTAATGATTCAATGATCTACCCCTTGTGCATTCAGAGCAGAGGCTGAGCAGCACAGCCCATCCTTACCCAGTCCCTTCTGCGGCGCCGGGGAGCGAAACTCCATCAGGTAACTCAAGTAGGGCTTTTCGGAGCCAATCTCGTAGTACCGAATGTTGCCATCGCCCTGGAGCGAGTGTAGAGAAGAGGTTTGGGAAACACAAAGTGGAATAAAGACCACGATAACACCCCCCAGCATCCCATCCTTGGGGAATGGGACAGGGATGCAGAGCACAGCCCGTACCTTGCCGGCCAAGTACAGCATGTGGGTGTCAGCGTCGTAGAAAGGGAATAGGAGACCCGAGAGGCCGTCGATCTCCTCCTCTATCAGGGGCATGGACAGGTCTTCCTGCACAAGGGGAAAAGCGATTTATTAGCCAAGATGTCCTGGATTGCTTGTGCTGAATGGGGGGCGTCCCAGTGGGGGTGGAGCCGGGGGTCCCAGTGGGGATGGAGCTGGAGGGTCCTGGTGGGGATGGAGTGGGTGGTCCTGGTGGGGATGGAACCAGGGGGGTCCCAGTGGGGATGGAGCCAGGGGACCCCAGTGGGGATGGAGCAGGGGGTCCCAGCACCCACCTGGTCCCAGAGGGCGATCTGTCGGGTGTTCCAGCGCGACACCCCTGTCGTCAGCAGCCTCTTCGTGCTGCCCAGGAAGACCACCCGGTTGACACGGTGGTTCTTGCAGCTGGCCTCCTGCAAGAGATGACCACCACCTTCCTCCAAATGTGGCTCTTTCTGCATCCCCCCCTCCCTAATTCCTATTGTTTTTCACAACTCCTTAATTAATAAAAGCCTCCAACTTCTGCACTTGGGATGTGGCTGAGCCTTCCTCATCATCTCCACCTAATTAACCTGCAGACCCTGACAAACACAAACCATCCCATCATGAGGATCAGCTCTACCTTAATGGTTTTGTACACATTCTGGTAGGATTTCTCCCCAAAGGTCTCCTTTCCACACCCCATCCCCTCCAGCGCCGCACCTGCAGGACCCTGCCGGAGCGCGGCTCCACCACCCGCAGCTTCTTGTCCTTGCAGGTGGTGGCCAGGAGGCTGCCGTCTGTGTTGAAGGACATGCAGAGGATGACATCCGTGTGGCAATCGATCATCTTCACCGGCTCCCCGATGTCCAGGTTCCAGATGAGGACCTAAAATCACGGAATCATCAAGGTTGGAGGAGACCTCCAAGACCATCAAGTCCAACCATCAACCCAACTGTGCCCACTAAACCATGTCCTAAACCATGACCATGATGGGAAGGGGAGAGTTTGCCCCAGCATCTCCACTTTTGGAGACTCCCCATCCCTTCTGCAACTTCCACATCTGCTTTGGGTACTGTAATATCTTCTGTTTTGGCCAAAATCGCCCTCTCAGAATCACAGAATCACAGAATCACAGAACGTTAGGGATTGGAAGGGACCTCCAAAGCTCATCCAGTCCAATCCCCCTGCCGGAGCAGGAACACCCAGATGAGGTTACACAGGAAGGCGTCCAGGCGGGTTTTGAATGTCTGCAGAGAAGGAGACTCCACAACCTCTCTGGGCAGCCTGGGCCAGTGCTCTGTCACCCTCACTGAGAAGAAGTTTCTTCTCCAATTGAAGTGGAACCTCCTGTGTTCCAGTTTGTGTCCGTTACCCCTTGTCCTGTCATTGTTTGTCACCGAGGAGAGCCTGGCTCCATCCTCGTGATGCTCACCCTTTAAATATTTATAAACATGAATGAGGTCTCCCCTCAGTCTCCTCTTCTGCAAACTAAAGAGCCCCAGCTCCCTCAGCCGCTCCTCACATAAGGGAGATGCTCCACTCTCATCCCCTACGAGCCCCCTTCCCGGGGCAGGGCTCACCTTATAGTCGTAGCCGGCGCTGAAGAGGATGTTGTTGGTGGTGGGGTGCCACTCGACCAGGCCGACGCGCCGGCTGTGCCCATACAGCTCCAGCACCGCCTCCGTCATGTTCCTCTTCAGGCCGCCCTCTGGGATCTCCCAAATCCGCACCTGTGGGATGGGGCGGGTGTCAGGAGGGGTTTGGGAGGCCCAGGAGGACCCCAACACCCACCAGGGGGGCTCGGAGCTGCCAAATCCCCATGGTGCCCCTATGCCAGTGGACTTATCCTGCGCCTGGGGGTGGATCCAGTGCATGGAAGGAGCACAGAGAGCCCATCCCATCAGACCAGCAAGCATTGAGGGGGACTGGGAACCAAAAAAAGGCAGCGGTTTTACCCCTGGTGAGCATTGCCAGATTGAAATGAAGCTTTTCCATATAAAGTCTGGCATATGTGGAAAATATCTGGGAAAAATCTGGGGAAAAAATCTGGGGAAAAAAATCTGGGAAAAAATCTAGGAAAAATCTGGAAAAATATGGGGAAAATATGGGAAAAATATGGGAAAAATAAGGGAAATAAGGGGAAAATAAGGGGGAAATAAAGGGGGAATAAGGGAAAAATTGGGAAAATATGTGGAAAAATCTGGAAAAAATCTGGAAAACAGCTGATCCTGCTGTCCCTTTCATCTCCGTCACCTCCAGGGATTGCCTCATCCAGGCACAAAATTGATTTGCAATATTGCAGTGAAAAACCTGCACAAATTCGCACAGGCGGAGCGCTGTTTTCTGCCTGAGCCTGCACGTTTAGAGGCAGGAGATGCTGGGTTTTTGGGTTGCGTGGCAGAGGACGTGGTGTCACCAGAGCCTGGTTTGGCTCCAGGGGACGATCCCGAGAGCATCAGCAGTTTTCAGGCACAACCCAAGGAGGAAGATGCTGGGTGGAGGAGGAACCAGTTACAAAAGCACCCGGTTATGAAACTGCTGTTACCAAACCTCTGCATTCGGGTGATGGACGTCAAAACTGGGGGGGACACAGGGAAACCCCCATGGGCTCAACCTGCACCACTGGGTCCTGCTCAAATCCCGGCTCCCTCCTGCCTTTGACTGTGCAGGGCGCTTCAAGGACGGTCATTCAACGTGTCCTGCATCCCTGCCCAGCACAGCATCACCTCAGCCGGCTGCTCAAACAGGGTTGCATCATTCCTCATGTCTTGCAAGAATAAAAATACCCAAAAAAAAGGGGTGGTGAGTGCCAGGGCTGGGCTATTTTTAAGCCGGTTTCCCCATTCCCGCGGTCACCGTGACCTGAAAACCGGCGTCTCAGAACCGGTGCGGTGTTAACGCTGGGCCGGTGCCAGCGTCGGCACGGCTGGAGCTGACCCAAAACTCACACCCTGGGATGGAAACGATGCTTTTGAAAAATCCTCATTTCAAAACAACACAGAGGAACAGCCCCAGAAGCGCCTCCCCCACCTCCTCCCGTGGACCCAACCTTAGAAACCCTCGTGAGCAAATTTTCCCCTGAAATTCCCCTTTCCCCAAAGAGATGCACCCTGCAAGCAAGATATTGTGCAGCAAACCCCTCTCTGGCATCATGAGCTGCATCAGCTCGCTGCAAGCAGAGCTCCAGCACAAGGAAAAGCAGAATTACAGCATCATTAAGGTAGGAAAAGCTCTCCAAGACCATTGAGTCCAACATCAACCCAACCCCACCATGGCCACTGAACCAAAGAAATGCCCATGAAAGTTGGGTAATTCCCTTTTAATCTCTCCTCTTGCTTGCTTCTGCCCTTTAAAAGCTCCTTCCTGAAAAAGCCTCTGCAGCATTTCAGCAGTGTCCACGAATAATGCATTAACGGTCCCAATTAATGCACCCCCATGGGAGAGCATCAGGCAAGGACAGATGTCTCTATCCGAGCGGGGACAGACAGACATGGCTCTGAGAGCCAGGGAGTGATTCCAGGAGGGGTTTCAAGCCGTAAAAATCCACATCACCCCCTTGGGAAGCATTGACCTATGGGGATGCCCTGGGGACAAGGCTGCATGCGTTGGTCATGATGGAGGAAAGATGCAGGACCGAGCAGTGGTGGTGTCCCCAGCCACCAACAGCGTCCCCAGGTGACAAATATCACAGAAATGCTCCATTTTCTGCAGCTTGGACCCCGTGAGGACATGGGCATCCTCTGTTTGATAACAAATGATGGCCTGAACCTCATTAAAACTTCTGGGAGCGAGCCCCAAGGTGCAGGACCTGTCCCTGAGCATCACCCCAGGAGCCACAATCCCACCCATCTGCAGGGCTGCTCCCCTAAACCTCCTCTCCGCCAGCCCCCAGTGGCCAATTAACTTAATTCCCCAGGTTTAACGATGGCTCACGAAGCCTCCCCAGTTTCCTCCATCTCCTGTTCCCCAGAGGTGCTATAGAAAAGGTGGTAATTTAAAGTGGGAGGCAGCCCACCATGATTCATGGCCACGATCTCAATTTACCCCCCCTCCACACTCAGTATCTTCCTCGACAAGCTTTTAGCTAATAAAAAAAGAGCCAATTTACTGAAGGAGAGGATGAGATGTTGGGCAATAACGGAGCAAAACGCCACGGAAAGGGCAAAGGAGATTCTTAACTGGTTAAAAAACAGGGTCGCCCCACACCTTGTGCAGAACGGGCGATGGTTTCTGATCTTCTCCCTTGTACAAAACCTTATTTTCCATTTGGGATGGACTTGGTTGTGTCCATAAGATAAAAAGGAGGAGGATGCAAATGACAGCAACCTAACGCTGACCTGATTTATCACCCCCAGCCTGCAGAACTGCCTTTTGCTCCGGATGGCTCAGACCACGAGAGCGATGAGGATTAATAATAGCATCGCTGTTGGGCTCGGGAAATAAAGAAAAGCCCTCGTTGTGCACAGCTGGGACATAGAAAGAGCAGCTCGGGGACAATAAGTGACATGGGGACAGCAGAGGAGCTGGGCACCGCCGAGATGGGAGCTGCGAATTGGCACAATTTCCCTATTTTTCTGCATTAATCTCTCACTCCTGAGCCATCAACCCCCCACGGTGCCCCCTTCCCATGTATTTGGGTGTACAAATTGGGGCGCAGGGAGGCTCCAGCTCACCGAGGTGTCTTCGGAGCATGAGGCGATGATGTTCTCAATGAAGGGGTTCCACTTGATGTCCAGCACGTTGCCTTGGTGGCCGCACACTTTGGGGTAGTTCGGTTCGATCCTGCCTGTCTGGAATTGAAAATAAACCGGGGGAAAAAATTAATAAATAAATAAAATCAGTGATAAAGTTGGTATTTTTAACGGGAGCCTCCATAGCTCGTGCTGGGATGGGGCTTTTGGCTGGAGGAGATGCCCAGTGGAGCTGGGGATTTGGTTTTACCCCATCGATATTCCCAGGAGTGGTTGCAGCTGATCCATGCATGAGAAGGGGCTTCTGCAGACCCTTGGTGAGGGGCATCTCAGTGGGAAACCTCTGCATTCCCATCCAAAACCATGAGGAAAAAGGGCTGGAATGGCCTCGAGAGGCTCCAAACTGAACCCCAGACCTTGAGGACCAAACATTGGGTCATCATTTGGTACCTTCTTAAATTTTGGAAGCGCGCTTTCTTCCCAGATTTTACAAGTGATGTTGAGCAATGTACTTGTTATACATTTTATATATATAAATATTTTTATA